CCCCAAAACCCCAAAACCCCAAAACCCCAAAATTCCCCTCAAAACTTGAAAAATCTCGAACAAATACAATTTCCAACCCTCGAAAAAGTCAAACCAAGCAGGGTTTCAGGAGGATATCAGCTGGTTCTGAACCACAGGTGTTCCAGCTAGAGTTCAACAGTGAGCAAAGGGGCTCAGGAGCTGAAGATTGCAGGGAAATTGGAGGAGAAGAAGTAGGGGAAAGGAAATTTTGGGATTTTTTGAGATATAGGAAGACGTTTAAGGGTTTATGCTAGTGAATTGGAGATTTCTTTGACCCCTTCAAGGATGTGTTCGATCGTTGGTTTTGGACAGGTGTATTCGCATCGGCCAATTTTTGATTTAATTGCCTTTTCGGTCGTCTTTCCTATTGAAATTAGGCTAATGCTATCTAAAGGGCATGAGTCATCTCAAGATTTCTATAGATAATATCTCTGTCTTACCATTTCTTGAAAATGATTGTAGAAAGTCTCAAATCCTGATGGGCTATAGAAGACAATAATATCTGGATTTAGATTAACCTCAGTTTCTTGCTTTGAGAAATCCTCTACAAATTTTTCAAACGAGATCGGTTCATTGTGATACACTTGGATTTTGATAAAAATTTCAGGAAGATCTTTATCAGACACAGCTGTTTTATTTCCACAAAAATAGATGAATTTCTCAAATTCTTCCTCATTATCATTTAGCATAGAAATAAGAGCCAGCATATCTGTATCACTAACTATTTTTGGCTCTTTAAAATGATTCTTCAAAACTTTGGAAGTCTTCTTCCCAACCACTCAGGAATGTTTCTCAATGATTCCGATCAATTTCTCATGAAGATCCTTCTTTTCCTCGATTTTATCAATGAAATCTTTGACTGATTTGACTCCATTTACTGATGTAAAGCTATGAATAAGTATTTCCATACGTACATAACGCCAATTTTAGCCTCAGATTTAAAAATTTCCTCTAATTTTATGACAATTTCTTGAAATTTATCCCTAAAATATCTGAAATATCCTACTCGTTTGTATGGGTATAGCTGATATCTGAAGGATTGATGACTCCATAAGATCCTACGAATCTAGTAAAGTTCTGAGACCTTACTTACTGATTTTCATCTAGTAGTTCCTTCTCAACAGGCGTTGTTTTGACAAACAGAACGTTCTAAATATCATTAGTTAAGGCTTACTTTCTTTCCAATAGTAGTTGACTCCATATTTTAATATTTTTATCTGAAGGCTTTGTTAAGGGGTTTTGGGGTTTTGGGGTTTTGGGGTTTTGGGGTTTTGGGG